CAGCCTGGCTGGCAGGTTTTGGTGCTTCGCCCTCGCCAGTGATGCTTGTCTTCTCCCGTGCCTGGCTGCCTGGAACACTGAGCAGCAACGCAACACACACCACAACAACAATCGTTTGGAGTGCGCCAAAAACAGCACAAGCGCACAGGTTTTCTGCTGACACACGCACGAAGTCTTGTTGACGTTTGGAGAGTGGTGTAGATTGGTGTCGTGTGATGTTGTGCTGCTGCTGTTGAGAGCGTGAGAGCCAACAGCAAGGGACAACAGCAAAGGACAACAGCAAGGAGTGGCTGTATTCTTCTCTTCCTTTCCCCGCCGTCCTCGTTCCTCTGCCGCAGGATGGCCCTGCTGCCGAGCAAATGGAGCAGCTTCAACCTGCCCACAAAGTAAGCATTCTTGTTTTGTGTGTGTGAGTGAGTGATTGAGTGAGTGAACGAGTGAGTGAGTGTCTGTGTGTGTGTCTGTGATTGAGTGAGTGATTGAGTGAGTGTCTGTGTGTGTGTGTCCGTGATTGATTGAGTGAGTGAGTGAGTGTCTGTGTGTGTGTGTGCTGTAGTTGCTGACCTTGAGCTTCGTTCGCATCTCGCTCATTCCACACCTCTGCTCATACGCCCACAAAACCACCACCCTGTATGACGTGTAGCCGCCGGATATTGCTAGTGGTGTTCATCATACTCCTGCTCTTCTCCATTCACTGGCTCTACACACCACGGACCGTCACCACGCACCAATGGCAAACAGGTACGTACACACGCTGTGCGCTGCTCGCGCGCGTGTATGTGTTGTGTATGTGTGTTGTGTGTGTGTGTGTGTGTGTTGTGGCATTGTAGGCGTTTGTGCGTTCACGCCATCACTGCTCTTGTTGTGGAGTTGAGCGAGATTCCACTCTCCGTCTCCGTCTCTGTCCCTGTCTCCGTCTCTCCATCTCTTCATGCACCAGCCCTCCCCTGTACATGCATGTGACGAATGCAGGGTCCATCGCGACAGACACAACGTGCATCGGTGCATACATACAAGAAGTGCAATCGCACGTAAGATGCACACATGTGTTGTGTGTGCAGCTGTGTGTGCAGCTGTGTGCGTACATTCAACGTTTGTCTCATCATCTCATTGCTCAAACCTTGCGTGCACTGGTTGCAGGTTGACTATCGCCTCATCCCGTTGCAGGGCAGCGATTCCAAGGCAGCCGCATTGCCCGCTCTCATCGGTACACACTCGCGCATGCACATTGAGGCCTTGGCACGACAGAACGACGCGTGTGCTTCACCTGCTTCGCTTGCTTCGCTTGCTTCGCCTTCGCTTGTG